TTTTTTTGTCTTTTTGAGACAGAGTCTCGCTATGCAGTTCAGGCCGGCATTGAGCTCACTTTGTAGCCTAGGCTGGTCTCAAACTCTCAACGATCTTCCTGCCTCTCAGCCTCCTGAGTGCTGGGATTACAGGTGTGTGCTACCACGCCCGGCAACGTGTCTTTTTTTTGTGGGGGGGCGGCGGTATTTCCGGTACCGGGTATCGAACTCACGACCTTACGCTTACGAGGCAGGTGCTGTGCCGCTGAGCTAAATCTCCAGCCTTGAAATGTATCTTCTTTTTTTTTTATTTATTTTTGGTCTTTTTGAAGACAGAATCTCGCTATCCAGTTCAGGTTGGCCTTGAATTTACAGGCTGGTCTCCAACACGCAGCAATCCTGTCTCAGGATTGCTGAGTGCTGGCATTACAGACATGTGCCACCACGCCCAGCATCTTTTTTTTTTTGTACCGGGAATCGAACTCACGACCTAACCTTGCCGGGCAGGTGGTGTGCTGCTAAGCTAAATTCCAGCCCCCAGCATCATATGTTAAAATGCTTTTTTTGAGACAGGGTTTCGCTGTGCAATTTAGGCTGGTCTTGGGCTCACTTTGTAGCCCAGGATGGCCTCAAATTTGCAGCAACCCTCCTGCCTGAGCCTCCTGAGTGCTGAAATTACAGATGTGCCATGTTACACCCAGCTAAAATACTTTTTTGCGGGGAGCTGTTGAAATAAATCTGCCATGCAGAGCATGGTGGTGCATCTGTAATTGGAACATTCTGGAAGGCTGAAGCAGGACTGCAAGTTCAATCCCAGCCTTGACAGTCTGGGGACTTAAAGAGATCCTGTCTCAAAAAAAAAACAAGACTGAAGCTATAATTCAGTTTGAAGGCTCTGGGTCAGACCCTAGTTTTGTTTTGTTTTGTTATGTTTAAAGGGAAGCAGAAGAATTAAAAGAGGTATGCCTAATTTCATTCTAGATGCTGAAGTGTAAGGGAAGGTTTATCAGACTGTTTCCTGCTTTTCTGTAGGTTTGAAATTTTCATTAAAACATCAAATTGCTGTCACACACTTGAACAGTCTTTACCTGTGTGTTTATATCGTGTTTTGTGCTTGCTGGGTGTGGCGGTGCACAGCTAGAATCCCAGCACTCGGGAGACAGGAGACAGAAGGCAGGAGGATTACCTTGAGTTTGAAGCCAGCCCAAATGGCATAGCAAGACCCTGTCTCAAAAAAACAAATTTTTGTGCTTGCTTATGTATCTGTGGAGGTTTGTTTAATTTCCAGAGCTGAGGACCAGACCTAGGGTCTTGCACATACTAGACAGTGGTCTACCACTGAGCGATATGTATTCTCAGCCTTATGTTAAAAGATAAAGTCTCAGATTAACTAGGTTAATTTGGTCAAAAATTACTTGTACTCAGTTTTGCTAGCCATTGCTTGACTACTCTGCAACCTGTTTTCCCCTCCCTTGCCCCCCTTCCCCCTTTGGCTTCCTGTGAGCCCTCTGATTTTGTCTCTGGAGGCCTTTGTCCTTCTCTCCCTCTGTTCTAGCTCCTTCCCCTGATTGCTCCTTAGCTCCAAGCTCGAAGCCCTCCTTCAGAAGCTGTGTCCCTTCGGTCTTCTCTTCACCTGCTTTGAGCTCCACAGCTGTAGCTGCATACTTGCTCTCCCAGCGGAGCCTTCTGCCCTCCCAGATCAATCTCTTGCCAACCCCGCGTGTCACTGAATCTCCCTTGCGGCTAGAAGGGTCGCATGTCCACGCTGGGACACCACACCATCTTCCTCTCTGCGTGACTCTTCCATCCTAGCTGGCCTGGCCATTTGCTTGATGCAGCCACCTCCCGGCCTCCTGTCGGTTCGTGCTCCGGCCTCTGTTGAGCACCCTCTGTGTTGTGCGCCTTCTACCTACCAGCCCACCTTCAAAGCTCAGGCCAGCCTTTCTTATATATAGGCCTTTTGGCCTAATCCCTGTCATGTGAGCATTTACTCTGTCAGAATGTATGCAGGCTTTGTATTTCTTCCTGGGATGTCAACACCTGACTGTTTGCTTGGTTTTCCTTGTGCTTTTCGGCTGTCTTCTGTGCTGGGTTATGAGGCCCTCTTCTAGGCTACCCACAGGTCTCACCCTCTCACTTGCTCTGGTGGGGTTCATGACTTGAGCCTTTTCCACTCCCACGTGGCGTTGGGCTGGAGCCGGACACTGGAGTGTTTTCTGGAATGCTGATGTGCACAGGAAGGAGTGAGCGGGCCTGGGGTGTCAGGAAAACGGTTCTGGAAGGGGGCTGGACACAGGCCACAGAAGGCTGGAGTCAGCTCAGACATCAGATGCCTGAGACCTTGCTTCTTTGTTGAAAGGTTTGTCCGATCTGTGCCTCGATGCCCTGGGGAGACCCCAACTACCGCAGCGCCAACTTCATAGAGCACATCCAGCGCCGCCACCAGTTTTCCTATGACACTTTTGTGGTGAGTCAGATCCCTCCCCTGGGGAACACAGCAGCTGTTTGTTTGCTGAAGAAGGGAATTAGAAGGCCCAACAGTTCGGCTTGTCACTGATACGTAGGCTTCCAGTCTCTAGCACAGCATCTCTGCATTGTCTGCTCTTGGGCAGGTGGGTAGCCAGAGTGCTAGAAGATAATTTGGAGCTGGTGGTGGTACACAGCTGCAATTCCAGCACTCTGGGAGGCTGAGGCAGGTTTGCCAGTTTGACCTCAGCCTGGAAACTTAGTAAGACCGTGTCTTAAAAAAAAAATTATGAAGTGTTAGGATGTAGCTCCATGATTGAGCTGAAGTGGGACCCCAGCACTGTCAGATGGGGAAAAAAGACCGTGTCTTAAAAAAAAAAAAAAAAAAAAAAGTACTGGGGATATATATAGCTCAGTGGGAAGACCCTAGATTCAATCCCTACTACTTGGGCTCCGCCCCAAAAATCTGGTCAGTTATCTAGACAGAGACAGTGAAATTTGCTCTTTTCTCTCGCCCCCTGGCTCACACTTTTTTTTTTTTGAGACAGTCTCGCCATGCTGTTCAGGCTGGCCTTAAATTCACTTTGTAGCCCAGGCTGGTCTCACTTGCAATGATCCTCCTGCCTCATCCTCCCAAGCGCTAGGATTATACACGTGCGCCACCATGCCCAGCGAATTTACAGTTTTAGAAGGATTTATGAGCTGCTATAATACAGACTGATAGTCATCATGTAGAAATACAGACCTAAGGTGAGGGGTGGGGGGGTGGTGCTCAGTGCTAGAGCACTTGCCCAACATGCACCGGGGCCATTGACAGTACCCCAGCATTTAGTACTCCAGCAGGAAATGTGAAATATCAAATGAAGTATCACAAATACTGCAGGTCACACAACACACTGCCAAACATGGGCTGTCAGTTTTGTATTCTTTCCTGAGAGCTGGGTGGATTTACAGGGGCATTGTTGTTCGGGGCATTACAGTGCTAAATTTGACCAGCTGCTGGAAGCAAACTTTTTATTAGCATATGTAGGTGCGAAGTTGGTATTTTAGAATAGTGTTTGTTCTTTTTTTTTTTTTTTTTTTTTTTTTTGGTTTTGGTTTTTCTCCGGTACCAGGAACTGAACTCACGACCTTGCGCTTGCCAGGCAGGCGCTTTTGCCGCTGAGCTAAATCCCCAGCCCCATAGTGTTTGTTCTTAATAGCTGCTGTTCAGGCTCTAGGAAGAGAAGCTTTTTCCTAAGTTGTCATAGGTATTTATTCTCAGTCTGAAACTCAGAATTCAGGATAACTTTTCATTTTATTAGCTATAAAAATAAATGTAATTCCAGAAAATGCCCAAGTAGATCATTTGTCCTCATTAAAAGGACTGTTCTTTACTGGGCACTGCAGCCAGTGCCAAGGACACCTGGGTGCATCCACAGGGCGCGTCTGTGCAGGCGTTCGCCTTCTGCACCCGCGAGCCAGATGTAACACGTGGAGTACATGGTGCGCGGCAGACACCGTGTGCTGTCTGGGCCCGCGAGCCCAGGGCAGGGAGGCGTTGTTATGTTCAGTTGAGATGAGGTGGCAGAGACCCTGAGTGATGAGATCATCTGCCCGATTGCATAGTTAGCATCACGGAGGGCGGGTCGGGCAGGAGTCCCTGGCGTCCCTGTCCAGCCCTTGTTGCTGGGCTGTTGGGCTCCTACCCAGAGGGAGTCGTTGCTGTGAACCGTTGCTGACGTCGCTTGTCTGTGTCGCCCTCAGGATTACGAAGTCGATGAAGAGGACATGATGAACCAGGTGTTGCAGCGCTCCATCATCGATCAGTGAGCGGCACCCTCTGTCCATCTCCTGCTGTAGAGATTCCATCCTGTGTTAGGTCCGAAACCTTTGACTCCTGCACCTTAACTGTACAACAGACCTGGAATTGAGCCGTGGCACCAGGACAGAGTCACTTTTGACGGGGGCATCGGGTCTCTGGTTTGGAGCCCTTGTTTGTTGGGCTCTTGCCAAAGCTGTACACCTCACTGTTAAACTTTGTTTGTCACACAGCCCTGTCCTGTTGGCTCTCAGCTACTTCTGGGAGCTGCTGCTTCCTCTTCTGGAAGGAAGTCCAGCTTCTCCACATCCCCATGTTCTTACTTCACTCTTGTTCCTCCTATCCAGTGTTGATCTCTCAGGTCCTCCGAGCCAGCTGGGACCTTTTCCACGTCACGAATAGCACAAAGAAACCAACGGCCCCTTCCCCTGGCCCTGGGCTGTGCCAACTGCGACACAGCGCGCCTGTGCTGCCAGGCTGCTTGCCAGGTCCTTCCAGGCGGCTGCACTCTGGGAAGCATTTCGAGCGCCCCCTTGGGGTGAACATTCTAGCTTTCACATGAGCTGATACCAGAAGTTTTATTAGTGATATTTTCCTACAACCTGCATATCCTTAGAATGAACTGGTTCGTCTTAAATGCCTGCATGGTGCCTTTTCAGAGTAAGGTATGACTGTATATTTTCAGTGAGGTGTTTGTAGGTTAGGGAAGTTAAAATGCATTTGTCCGTAAGTGGAGAGGAGAAAGATCAGCTAAGCGAGATAGGAGGGTCATAGTTCTTTGGTTCTGGTTTTCAAGTAAGGACGTATCTTCAGATAGCTGAGTCCTATTTACCTCTGTTTGGGAGCTTGCATACATTCTTGTCCTGGAGCATGAAAGGAGTCTTCAGATGATTAAGGAGAAAGTTTTGAGGGTTCTTTTATCTTCTACTTGGTAACTTACATGAGCATTATTTTCCTATCACAAATGCTTTCCTTATAGCACTGATTTCCACTTGTAAATCTGTTTTAAACCCTGCCTTTCAATGCCGAGAGAGGCTGCTATTCACCCTGTGTCTTTTCTGAGAAGCCCTGCAGCGGAAGGCAGCATCTCTGACGAGCGGTTAATAAAAGCCGTCTACTGGAAACTTGCTTCGGTAGCAGCTCAAGAAGCCTGAGGTTGCACATATCTTACAGTGTTAGTAAGTAAGGTTCAGAGCTGTCAGCCTGAAGGCGCGTAGATCTCAGTTCACTCTCTCACGTCACACATTTCTAGCCTGAACGTGGCGGTGTTTCTGATCTGAAGCTGAGGTTGAGATAGTGGCTTGGGCCTGCGCACTGCTGCCCTGGGCCCTGCCTGCCCACCGGGAAGGAACGTACCACAGACGGCCGGTAGCCGGCAAGACAGGGTCGTTCGGGGCTATAGGCTTTGTGTGATGTGTTGTGCTGGAGAGGGTGTTAAGATCGGCTTCTTCACTGTCATTTCTGGGAAAGTTGCCGCCGCCCTCCCTGACTGCAGTCACCGCTGGAAGGTGGGGGGAGGTTTGCCGAGATGAGGCTGAGGCAGCGGAGGAGCGCGTCCATCCATCCAGCCGGTGGAACCAACAGACCTGCTTGCTTGTTTCAAGTGCACTTCACGTATTTCTAAGATGACTTTCCAGAAAGCAAAATTTGTTATGTTCTGGCTTTTGAAAGGTGAAATATAAATAAATTTCATAATTTATCCAGTTGGTGAACTGCAGCACCTGTGTTCATTCAACACTATTTCCTGAGGTCTGAGGCCTGGACTCCTCCAGAAGATTCATACTTTTGAGTCCCTGCCTATCCCCAAGTCTGCCTGCCGCTGTCACAGCTCTGACACTTCCCCGCTGCCTCATGGGCCTGTGCTCCGAAAGTGCATCCTGCACATACCCATTGGTCACACTGGGAGGCTCTGGGTACAGGAGTGACTGTTCAGGTCCTAGCACTGCGGTGCAGGGGCGTTGTAGAAGGGTCCGCACAAGTTAGCTGCAGGTCCGAGGGAGATTTGAGCTCTGCTCTCTACCACAGGCTGACGTGGCAAATAACAGTGCCATGAACTCGGGAACCTTACCTCTGCCTTTTCCCGCTGTTGTGATCTGCGAAGCAGTGTGACCCCTGTTTGGTCCCACAGCGATCTTGATGTGAGCAGACCAAGCTCACCATCCTCACTTAACACACTGTCTGCCCGCTTCTGTTTTCTTCCCTGTTGAGGTAGACTGTAGCAGTGTCTGCTCAAGCTTGCTGGAGTCCTCTTATTTCCTGCATCCATACAAGGCCACCTTTATGTAATAGTTGCATCTGGCCTGGCATGGTGGCACCTGCCTGTGACCTCAGCTCTTGGGAAGCTGGGGCAGGAGGATTGCTGCTAGTTCAATGAAGACCAGCCTGAATTACATAGCAAGACCCTGTGTCAAAATTAAGTTGAATCCTAGATTGTGTACAATCTAGGTGTGATTTGTGCCTGTTACCTTGAGGCCTGTTACATACTGGAAATAAAATCCCTTGTCTATATCAAAACAGCTCCAGCTGGGCATGGTGGTGCACACCTGTAATCCCAGCACTCGGGAGGCTGAGGCAGGAGGATCATTGCGAGTTTGAGACCAGCCTGGGCTACAAAGTGAGTTCAAGGCCAGCCTGAACTGAATGGTGAGACCCTGTCTGAAAAAAAGACAGAAGGGGCTGGGGATTTAGCTCAGCGGCACAGCGCCTGCCTGGCAAGCGCGAGGTCATGAGTTTGATTCCCAGTACCGGGGAAAACAAACAAACAAACCAAAACAACAAAAAACTCCAGGGTGCTGGAGCTCTTGGGTGTGGTGTTGCAGGCCTGTAACCCCAGTACTCAAAACGCTGAGGCAAGAGGAGTACTGCTAAGTTTGAGGTCAGCTTGGACTACATAGCAAAACCATGTCTCAAGAAAAAGATGAGTAGAAGCTAGGTGTGGTGGTGCACACCTGTAATCCCAGCACTCTTGGAGGCTGAGGCAGGAGAATTGCTGTTGAGTGTGAGGCCAGCCTGGGCTACAAAGCAAGACCCTGTCTCAAAAAGTCCCATTTTAAAACATGACAGAACTGAGCCCTTCATTTAAAAAGAACTGAGTCAAGACGTGTCTGCCTCTCCCTTTTTTCCTGGTTGGGAGACAGCTGTCATGCCCCTGCCCCTCCTTTTACTCCCTCGGCCCCGAGGATGGACCTGGACACCCTCCTTCCACCTTCTTCAGTGATTCCTGGCCGTGCTCCAGCCTGCACTGGCAGAAAGTTCATTGCTGCTGCTGAAGTCGCCAGCCAGACCCTCAGGTGGCAGTGGTCAGGGCGGGACCTCGGCCCATCAATAAACCTGACGTTCCCAAACCCCAGTAAGATGTGACGGACGTGACCGGCCCTCCTGAAGATTCCTCAGTGTTAGCTCTGCCGCTCTCCTGGAGGCTTGAGCTGGAAGTAAGCAGAACTGAACTAGGGCCTGTTGTGGGCTCAGGTCCAAAGGCTGTACTGGGCGTGGTGGCGCAGGCCTGTAGTCCCAGCTCTCGGGAGGCTGAGGCAGGAGGATCGGCGCGAGTTCGAGGCCAGCCTGGGTGACACACTGTAGTAGGTTCAAGTCCAGCCTGAATTACATAGTGAGTCTGAGAAATCAGAAGTCGCAAGTTTAATCAGACCAGCTGACCGGCTGAACTCACAAGCATCAGCGGGCTTGAGTCTGGACCAGTCCCAGCTCGCTGCGGCTCTAGGCAGCGCTCCCCTCACCCTGCCCACTCTATGTGCGAGGCTCCCTCTGGTGACTGAACCTGTGCTGCAGTGCTGGCCTTGTTCCCCAAAGCCTCGCTCCAGCCCTGTAGATCTGCGCGTCACTTACTTCTTAAGGAATGTGGGCTCAGAGGTCCTGTGAATCTACTCAGCGTTCTCGCGAGCCACGTCAACAGCGCTTGCTTTAAGAAGGGCTGTTAACACTTGTTGCGGTGAACACGGTGACAGGGACCAGCACTCACCCGGCAGCTTCCGGCGCTAACCGGCGCCCACTGGTGGCAGCATCGAGCAGCAGCACCGGGGCGCCGAGCCGGAACCACCAAGGGCCGCAGCCATCATGAAAGCCCAGAGCCACTAGCATAGCTAGCCGCATTTGGCCACTTGTGATTTCTGTCCAAATCGAGCAAAAGAACCCTCAGCTGGCTGGTGACAAAAAGACGGGGCTCTGCCCCGCAGGTCAGAGGCCCCAGGTGCACACATTCGCCACCTGACGCGCAGCAGGAGCTGGTGAGGTTGTGGCGGAGGAGCACAGGCCAGCAGGCGCAGACCAGAGTGCCCTCTGGGACACGGGCTCCTTCTAGCAAGACAGAGCCCTGTGGCCCAGCGAGGTACAAGTAGGCTCTTCCTCACTGTGGAGCAGGGACAGTTGGAGCACAGACCACGAGGTGGCTGCTGCAGCAATCACACAAGCGTGGCTGGACCATGTGTGGTAGAAGAGGGCTGAACGGTCACTTGGATCAGGTATGTATGTATATTTTGTTTGTTTGTTTTTCTGGTACCAGGAATCGAACTCACAACCTTGTGCTTGCCAGGCAGGCACTGTGCTGCTGAACTAAATCCCCAGGCCCGGGTCAGGTGTATGTTGAAAGCCCAGTGGGAAAGCAAATGGGGAATGTTTGGTTTACTTTTATTTATTTATTTTTTGAGACAGGGTCTCTCTATCTCAAAATAGGCTGGCTTGGAACTCACAATTCTCCTGCCTCAGCCTCCTGAGTGATGGTATTACAAGCATGTACCACCACTCTCAGCTTCAAAAAACCTTAATAAGTTCCTAAAGCAGGCCCTGTGATTAAGCCTGTAATTCCTGTTCTCTGAGGCGCTGACTCAGGTGGACTCCAAGTTTGAGAATAGCCTAGGCAATTTAGCAAATTAGTGAGACCCTGACTCAAAAAATAAAATAAAATAAAAATTAAAATTAAAAGGGATAGGGAATGTAGCTCAATGTGAAAAAAATTCCTTATTGGAAAAAAGCTACCAGGCAATGGTGGCACACACCTGTAATCCCAGCACTGCAGAAGCTGAGGCAGGGGGATTACCGTGAGTTTGAGGCCAACCTGGGCTACATAGTGAGTTCAAGACCAGCCTGAACTACATAGTGAGACCCTGTCTCAAAAAACAAAACAAGAAAACTATTTTTCTTGTATCTAGGCTCATAAGGCATTTACTTAAGCACTTAGGAGCCAGCACTGGGCTAGACACTGAAGATTTACATGCTACTCCAGTATAATTAATTATAAACTGATAAGCATTCAGAGTAAGAGAATAAAAGTGCAGCACTCAGGAGGCTGAGGCAGGAGGATTGCCATGAGTTCAAGGCAAGCCTGCACTTTATAATGAGACCCTGTCTCCAAAACAGAAAAAAGAAAAGATTAATAAACAGGAGCTATTTAGTAAACAGTACCTCCTTATAGGCTCTTTTTTTGGGGGCGGGGGCTGCTCTTGAACTTACTATATAGCCCAGGCTGGCCTCAAACTCATGGCGATCCTCCTGCCTCAGCTGGGATTACAGGTGTGCGCCACAAGGCCTGGCAAGGACATCCGCACTTTTTCACCTTTCCCCCTCCTCCTCTCGCCCTACCCCTTTCTCCTGACCTCAGCTTCCTGCCACTGCTTCCCGGACACGTGCGTGTCATGAGGCTTCTCCTCACCCCCTCCCTATTTCACTCGCGCACTAGGCCACCTGCCCGCCGCCCCGCGCCGTCATCCCGCCACCAGGGCTGGCCACACTCGCTGCAGCGGACTCCGCAGTCCTCACCCAGCTCCACCTTCAGCGTGGCTCCTGCCCTTGCTCCTGCCCTGCATTCTGTCACCTCCGTTGGCTTTTCTGGGGCAGCCACCACCCCGGTTTCTCTTGCTAGGCCCCTGCCCTACTCACGGTTTCCGTTTCCGGGACCTCAGCTGCCCGCTCCTCCCGGGCGTCTCCCTGTTGGGCTCCCCCGGGCTGGGCTCCTACGCCACCCCCGCCCCCACCCCTCTGCCGGGGCACATGCGGCCCTCAGCACGCTGCGCTTGGTCCCCTTGCCAGCTGCGCCTCAGGGCACCGACGCGGAGGGTTCTAGACCCTGCAGCCAGCGCCTTCAAGACACGGGGCAGCTGTGTGACTTGAAGGCATCTTAAATTCTGCCTGCTTCACCGAAACCACCTGCTCAACCCCTGCAGGTGATAGCAGATTCCTCCATTAATATAAACATCACCTTTAACTCCTTTGTCTGCCTTAATTCCCATCATTACCAACTGAAACTGATTTTTTTTTTTTTTGTCTTTTTGAGATGGGCTCACTATGCAGTTCAGGCTAGCTTCGAACTCACAAAGATCCTCCTGCCTCAGCCTCCCTCCTGCTGAGTGCTGAGATTACAGCCATGCGCTACCATGCCCGGCTCATGAAACTGATTTTAGCTCCTGAGGCACACACTTGTTCCTTCACATCCCCTGCCACTGGCAGAGGCTGCCGGGGTTTATCTGAGTTAGCGCAGCAGCTTCCCCATTTGCCCTCCCTCCGTGCTCCCTCACACCCATCCGTTCACCACAAAGCCGTGGAGAGGATTGGATTTCGGATTCCAAAACTGCCAATGTGATCATATCCTTTAAAGCCCTTCAGTGCTCCAGTTACCCTCAAACAAAGCTCTAGGGCTTCAGCCGGCTGCCCCCGTCCCCAGCCGCAGCTCCTGACACGCCCTTCTGCATGCGCTCCA